GGCTTCCTAAAAACACCACCTTTCAAGCTTTAAGTCCTCACCTTTTGACATGCAAAGAAGTTGTTTCTTTTCCGAAAAAAAAATGAATGAACATGCATTGAAAAGCCAAGACGAGGGTTCTTTTTCACGTACATTTGCCTTGTTTTCAAATGCCTAGCAATGAAAGGATGGCTTCCTTTTGATAAAAAATAATACATATGAACATCCATGGAAGACCATGGCGTGGGACCATGGTGGTGGTAATTGAATCTTATATATTTCTTTTAGATTTGACATGAGTATAATAATAAAAATAGAGTGGTAATGTACAACTTTTCTTGACTTAGAATCTTGTGATAGATATAATTTATAAAGCTTAAAGTTTGTTACGACAAAGTTTATTTTCATGTGTAATTTTCTTAATCATTCTTATATTTTATTTTTAGATTGTTTAAATTTAATTAAGTTCAATTTTATGCATTGTTAAATTTTTATGGTTTGGATTCCCATGCTTGTTTTAATTCAATGTTTCATGTTTAAACATATGTTAGATATGTTTTATTTATAAAAATTAATTTTTTGAAATAATTATAAATTGAACTTCCTCTGAAAGTTTGTCTAGATGTTGGAGACTTTTAAAGAGGCTCATAAATTCTTAAAATTTAAATTCGAACTTACCTAAAATCTCAAACTTGTTTCAAATTTATAAAGATTTGTATGAAAGCCTTTTATAAAGTAAATTGTTTCTGAATGTCGCCTAGATGCTAGGATATTTAAGAAATTTTATTTCATTAAGAATTTTCATACAATTCCACAACTCGAAATAAATTTAACAAGGATAATAAAAAATAATAAGATAGGATTTTAAATATAAAACTTGCACCTAAATTCTGCTTAGATGTTTGAGAGCACGAATGATTTCTTTATATTTGAAAACCCAATTTTTCAATTCACATTTAATTTTTATTTGCATATGCGTCATTTTTTAATTAATGTCTCCATTCATAATGTATCTATATAAATACTTGCTTTAATTATAGATACGATAGGACATGATTTTAAATATAAAATTCGTATCCAAACTCTGTCTAGATGTTGAAAAGCTCAGGTGATTTTTTTATATTTGAAAACCAAATTCTTCAATTCATGTATAATCATTATTTTGCATATGTCTCATTTTAAGTTAATGTCTTCATTTATGATATAGATATATATGTTTGCTTTAGTTATGGATGTCAAATATTAATTATATTATATTTTTTTTACTACATAAAAAGTTTTTCTTAAAATTTTAGTTTTGAATAAATAAAATTAAAATTACATTTTAAAAAATATAATTTTTGATACTCTGTCTAGATGTTAGAGAGTTATCAATTCTTATCATTTACAAATAATGTTATTTTATTATTTTTAGAAAAAATATTATAATAGATCTTAAATTAAAAAGACTATTTTCAAATTCTACATTTATATCAGAGACTTCGAATGTATTTCTTTAATTTACAGATTTTCTTAATATTCCTTAATAAAAGATTTTTTTACCTAATTTTGTTTCTCACAAAACAAAAGAAATTATAATTAAGTTTCATATAGAAAATAATTTTTGTCCAAAATTATAAATAACACATAATTAATTGGTACTAATTTTGTAAGCGTTGTAAGGGGTGCTAATCATTTCTCACACGTAATTGACTTTCGACTTCCGAATCCAATCTTGTTTTCATAGACCAAAATCATCTTTTTAATAAAACTGTAAATTTATTTTATTGTTTTATTAAAAAAATTAATTTTTGAGTGGTCAATCACACCTTAAAAAAAGTTGGTGGCAACTCTCTATATTTTTTAGGATTTTTAAATTTATATATTTAACAATCGAGTCTCCGGATCGATACATTACGATAAGATTAATTTATTGTCTGACCCAAATAAAAAGATTATTACCTTTGAGACCTTTTTTATTTTAGAAAGCTAGCCTTGGTTATATTTTTAGTTTGGCTAACTTGAATTTCCATTTTATAAAAATCATACTATTGAAGAGGGTTTTTAATATTTTTATTGATTAATTTAATAAGAATGTTATATGTCATTTATTATTAGGAGATAATTTTATCTCTGTAACCTCAAATCACCTACCCAAAATACACCAATTACATGTTTCTTATCTATTACCACTTGAGAGACACCTAAATTGAGGTAGTTTTGATGCAGAAAAACAAAATAGAAAAAATGGATTAAGATAAGTTTAAGCTCAATCAAGATATTTCTTTCCATGCCCAATAGAAGTGATCCAGCTTAATGGACTATACCCTTTTTTTTAAAAACCTAACAATTTTTAATATATAATCGTTAGCCATTTAATTTAATTTGATTATTATTCATTATGTTTTATTAAGCCTTTTTAATGTAAACTAAAATTTTTATTGGATTTACTAAATAAAAATAAAAATTAAAAAATTATAATAATTATATAATTTGATTGTTAAAAATTCCTTAATAATAAAAATTTTAGGAAATTTGTAGCAATACTTTTCAAGAAAAAAAATTGAAATGAGGAATAATACAATTGGAAGAGACTTAAGAATTATTCCAACATTTGATTAATTTAAAAAATAATAAAAAAAGATAGAAAAATAAAAATATTAAATAAATACAAATTCATGATATAATTTTTAAAAATTGCAAATTATAAGAGATATTTTTATAATTTCATTTATGTTTAGAGAATTTAGAGACATTTTACTTGCTATTAAATAAAATAGACAAATGTTAATTACTATCATTGTATTTATTTAATATTATATCTGTCTAATTAATTTTTTATACATAAATATGGACAACCCGGACGAAGCCGGGCATTAACACCAGTGCTTTGGGAAAAAAATCACATTAAATTTTATGCATGACGCATTGATGAGGGAAGGCTTCCATTTCGCCCCTCCAAATTAAATATTTTGGGGCCTTTTATTAATTAAAAGTTGGGACTCTTTCCCAAAAGAGGAAAGAATTAAAGCCGCCATTACCGTTAAGGTTGGTGTAATCTGGCCAGTAATTCAATAGATTATTAGATTTTTAATTTTTTAATTAAATAATGGTATTTTTAATTATAAAAAAATTTATGGGATGATTTAAGTATGAGATAAATCCCTTTTTTTTTTTTACAAAGGAAATTATTCACAAGGGGAATGAGTTAGAATTTAATATATATTGTAAGTAGGATAAAAAAATTGGCATATATTTTATTTTTTAAAATTTACCTAAGATGTATATATTACTTTATTAATTTTATTTATGATATCTAGAAATTTCACATACAATAAATAAAATAATTTCTCTTAGAAAAAAATAGCTTTACCAAAATGAGTATGTTTTTAAAGCTTTTTGCCAAAACGATCGTATGGGTTTTAATTGTTTATACAAGTCCACCTGAAAATGAAAAAAAACTTTGCTTTGGGCTGTAAAAGGTGAATTTTAGGGGTTGAGCCATAGGCAGCATTCATGGACCAAACAAATGGCCGAAAGATCGTTTTCAAAAGCCCCGAAAAGACATTAACCCAAGGGAGATTGATATTTAAGACATGGGGTTCACTTGTTTATTTTTTCCACCAAGGATTGATGATAAGACGAGCTTTTATCAATTGGTGTCATGTCTTTGTCAATACGTTCCTCCACATTTTTTGTTTGTCTAGTAAAGAAAGTTTTTTTTTTGGTAAGAAACTAGAATTAGATAAAAATCATAAAATAACACAAAAAAGTTTCAACAACTTATCCATCCTGCATTCATTTTAGCTAGTTAAGGAAGAACCAACCTCCAAATTAAATTTTGCCACTATATGATCGCCAAGCTAGAAATCGATGGCAATGAAGATATCTTAAACTCCTAAAATGTATCATTGACAGATATAAATAAATATTCATCGAGTTTAAATGATGAAATTAAATATGAAATTTAATTTAAATGATTTATTTATATTTTTTTTAGGATATGAATTTTTACAAATTAGAATTCATTTTCTAATACAAATAATTTTTCATTTCCTATCTCATAGACTTCAGCTTCTTTTTGTAATAATAATAATAATAATAATAAGGAAAATTAATACTAAATGTTGAAGGTTTTTTAATGAAACTTTAGGATATATTAAGGTATATATATTTTTAAATGTTTTTTTAGTATATAAGTAAAATCTTAAATATTACACAGAGTGTACAAGGTAAATTGGCTTCAATATTGAAAATGTAAATAACCGAAATTTATGTATATATTATATATTATAAGTTAATTAATCCAAGTTTTTTTCTTTAAAAATAAAAACCTAGACAATTTTTTTTAAGACAAAAATTTAGACAATTGATTGAATTCGATAATGGTTACACGTTTGCTTATAAAATCTATTTCAGTATGTCAATGACTAAATCATTATTATTCTCACTTGCAAGTTCAATGAACCATAATCATGTAAGATTTTTGTTGAAAAAGACTCCATAAGTTTTTTATTTCTTTGCTTTTTTTTTTTTTTTTTGAAATATGAAAGGTTAATAGGTGTTTTTTTAGACTTTATCTTTTTTATGCATTTGGATCATATTCTACAAAATGAGGATGAGTCTTATAATTCTTCTTTTTTTTCCTCTTTCTAAATCCTTTTTTAGTTCTTATTAAAAATATAATTTTTTATAAAAAAAAATCATAATAAAAAATAAAAAAGTTTTAATTTATTAAATATTACTTTTTAAAATTAATCGCATAAATCAAATAAACTAAGTTTTAAATTCATAAAAACATATTTTTATTTTTATTTTCTTAATCAATTATAGATGAATTTAACTTTCCTAACCACCAAATTCTCATTCGGAATAATAAAAAAAAATACTAAATTCTCATTAAGTTAACTCATTGGCTAGTAAGCTAGTTACTCTAACCTAACAGAGGTAATGACAAAAGAAATTAAAAATATAATGTTCAAATAGGACCTTAAACCCATAAAAAAACAAAAAATTAGGTTGCCCATATAATTGTATCAGAGACATGTCAACACTAGAGATAAGTCCTATGAACATACCAATAGTTAAAAAGTCAAAAACATCCTTGTCCATCCTCGAATAAATGTAAAACTGTAACTTACACTACTTTGTAAAATCAAGTACGGAATCTACACATCACTGTTTATATAAAATAAACATAATGTCTTCCCCCTTCTCATTTCCGTATCCATCATTAATCATTCTTTTTTTGTTTCCTTCAACACAAGCTATGGCTGCTATATCTGAATTCTTCTCCCGCCTCTACACCATGACCATAGTGTTTTTCACTCTCTTACTCCTTGAAGTTGTAATCCTTGTAAGGTCCATCACTGGCGGGGTTTGTGACTCTGAAAAACGCCTGATCACAACAACGCAGTACCTGAAATGCATTGAAGAAAAGAACCCAACAATCCTTTACTCGAGAAGATCATCATCGAGGCAGCCGGATCAGTCAAATGAGTGTGCAGTGTGTTTATCAGAGCTTGAAGAAGGTGAGAAAGTGAGGAAATTGAAATGTAAGCATACCTTCCACAAGGACTGCCTGGATAGGTGGCTTCAACAGTATTGGGCTACATGTCCACTTTGCAGGACTAAAGTTTTGCCGGATGAGATAGTGGCTAATTATCACAGGCTGCAAAATCAGGTAGAGTATGATGGGAGTGATGAAGAGATGATTTTCTTGTTATCTGCATTACATGGCAACAGTTTACACAGATTGTTCTGATTTTTATGCTACTAGGATTCTTATGTATTAATTGATTTACTTGGCTGACAGAAGCACAGATACTTGGTAAATTATTATAACTAGAAAGAATTTTATGTATAATTTTTTTTCTCTCTTTCTTTGGGTATTTTTTTTATGTAGATTTTAGTTGATTTATGTATATATTTCTATATGAGCAGTCTTATGAAAATTGAACATGTTGGCTTCGATTGAACGTCTTTTTTCTGGGCTAATTTATGCAAGGTTTTTGGTCCCCAAATAGATCAAATTCCTTGGATTGGAAGATGCACAGAGAATTTTGTACTGTGCAAATTGCCGATAACTTGTTTTGGGTATGAAAGTTTCTCAAAGAAATGTAGATTTTTTTTCTGTTTATTAGTTTTAATTCCAAGGGGATAATCAAGGGCCAGAAATTAAGCCTACTTCTCATAGATGGAACAGTTGATAGTGGCTTTGTGATCTAATTTTTGAATCAGCTTCATGGTAGCTACCAATGCTTAATTACTGTCAAAAGTAGGTGGGCAATTGCTAAAGCCTATAAGCCATAGATGTTTCTTCATTATCAATATATTTTTTATATAAGATTGGTAGGTGAAGAAAGTGGAGTTTTTTTTTTTTTTTTCTTCTTTTTTGCTGAATTAGGGAGTGGAGGATTTGATGGAAGAATCAGGATTCCTGACACTGATAAATAAACTGTGCCAACTGCCAAGGCATAGACAAATTCAGAGTCATTTTTTTGTTTGATGCCCTCAATTTTCAAATCCATTGCAACTCAACTATGAAAAAGAGAAAGAAAGAAAGAAGGAACCTTGGATATACTGATTTCACACACCTGCATTTAAATTGAATTTCTCCAAACTTGTACAAATATTTTAAACTACTAGTTGGAAAACGTAGAGGGAGATGTTGTTGCCACTGGTTTCTACTTAATCTATGCCAAGTTGCCGACACGAACCGTCATGTTTGTGCCTTTGCAGCGGGTTAGGTATATTTCTCTGATTGTGAAAACTTTTGCTTTTCTTCAATGTCCCTTCAAAAAAATAAATAAATAAATAAAAGGCAATGATAGCATACCTCATGGACTTAGGAGCATGAGATCATCAGTGGTCCTAGATTTAACATATTTTGCATCATTCATGGATTCGTTAATGAACAAAATTTTAACATTGTTAACCTGCCCGGCCTTTCTCTAGATTTTAGCCGTTGTGTATATTATATCTATTGCTATATGTCAATTAAATCTTTGTTTAATCTAGGGTTTGCCAGTGAGAAATTATTTTATTTTATTTTTTAACAATATCACAGTTTAGTAATAAAAAAAAAGGATAAATACTAAAATTTAAACTCGAAATCTAAATTAATTTTACGGCACTACTAGTATAATCTTCGTGTATACAACAATTATTGTTTTGTAACTTTCAGTCCTATGAAAGTGAGTATATGACCCCTTCAACGGTGCTTTGGCACGCCCAGAGGGTAACCTTCTTTAATGCAAAGGGCGAGTGGTAGATGAACAATTTTAATATGAAGCCATCTTCATAAAGGAAATGCTTAATAATTGATGTCACATTCCCACCTGTTCACCTAAATTGTAACATCTTTTTAGACTTGTCTTGGACTGCATCAATTATGAGGTGTTGTTGGCTTGTTTCGAGAGCCTAAGGATATATTCTCACGATTTTGTTTTTGAAAAAAATACCTTTAAACGGGACAAAAAATATAAATAAATGAATGAATAAGCCTGAAGGAGGAAAAAATAATAATAAAGAACTACAACTGTTATAAATATAATTCTTTTCAATAAATGAATGAATAAAAATGAAATTTATGTTAAATTGGAGATGCATATATACTATAATTTATTTTCAATAAATATTATATTTTTATGTTGAGAAATTAAATAGAATATTGATCCAATATACACTGTTACTTCTCAACAAAAAAAAAGCCCAATACTCACTCAAAGAGGCCTTTTAAATGCACTACGGCCTAGTCAATTAAGTCAGCTTTTATTCACCATACTCAAGTATATGAAGCCAACTGACAATGCGCTAGAAGTATGCCTAAGAAGAATTATACTCAGTCCAATCACCTCTCTGAAACCGTTTTCCCAACAATAAAAAATATACTATGGACCGACCTTACTCTTGGTATCCAGCAAAACTACCATTGCGGAAAAGTCCCAGTTTTGATTGCTGAAAATGGAAGTGATTGTTTCAATTAGGAACAACTAGCTTTCGAGGTATTCAATATTTCAACATTATTGTTCCCAGTTATCACGATCATGTCGGAGAAAATTGTTTCCTTCGGATGCTATAACGAGCAAGCCATTTAAAACAGTCAGCAATATGAGGATCCCAGTTAGAACCTAGGATCATATCACCATAAGCAGAAATTTTGCTTTAAAAAGAAGACCAGAATTTACAAATCAAAATGACAAAATGAAATGGAGTTTTTTTTTTTTTTGTCTACAACTTTTTTGGAGAAATGATTTTGGAAAGAACGAAAGAAGAGAAAAGTTTTCAAGCAGAGAAGGCTCCATTGAAAGCTGCAACACCGATCTGGCTCTTTGGTTCTAAAGCCAACTTGACAACCTCAATTCTTTCCTGCCCAATTTTGCTCTTGACCTTCTGAGCCAAGACCGCTACACTAGAAACCAAGTTAATCTCTTCTTTTTCAGCCCCAACTTTATTTCTTGAAAGCCTCACCCTCCTTTCGTACTCCTCCGCAACAAGCATAGCAATATCCGCCATCTCTAACCCTGTGATCAAAAGTCTAGAAAATATGATGTGAAGCTGGAGACCTGAATGATCTATGGAGAGAGACTTTGATCAGGGAAGTATATATAGGGGGGAAGGTCCTTGGAAGTGGACAGTTAACGGAATGGATAAGGCTGACCGGTGGTTTTGAGTTTTGGTGAGTTAATTTTTAAATTTTAATGTTGGATTTGCTTGGTTTGGTGGTCTTTCAGACATGACATGGTGCCACGGTGGGTTTAGCGGTTTTTAAATTCCTGTGGACTTCAGAAATTTACAGGATTTTTTTATATTTTAAGGGAAAAAAAACAAAAACAATGACCGGCCTGTCGAAAATTGAAATGTAAAACCTGAAAAATGTTGAAAATGGGAGCCTCTCATTCCCGGGGTTCATGCTCTGCCTTTTTCAGGTTAAATTATTTAAATTATTTAATTGTCAAGAATTTTGGAATAATAGTCCCTTACTAAACACTATTTAAATTATTTAACCGATGGTAAAACTTTCCTAAGTTTTAGGTTTAAAAAAAAGGCATTTTTTAACAAAAGAGGAACTGCTTGCAAACAGTTACAGTGAACTTTCAATTTTGAAATAAGATTAAATCCTGCTAAATTAAAAAAGCAAGACCCTTTTTTAAGTTAAGCCTTGGACGACCGATTAAAACAACCAAACAAAACTGCTAACTTTTGTCGGCGGCTGCCCACCAAAACATCCAAGGGTAATTTAGTAAATGTGTTGAAGTGTCATGTAATCGGGAAGTGCGTGAGATTTTTCGGTGAAGTGGAGGACAAGTGTCTCTCTTTTAGTGGGTGGTGCCGTGGTACTAAGAGAATAAGTCGTCACTGAAATTGTGGAGGAAAGTTCCAGTAACCTTCCCCGTCGCTTTTAGATTATTAAACAAATAATATTCTATCGATTTTCAACTCTCTAATGATATAAATATGCTTACTTTTTAATTCAAGACAATATGGCACATTAAGTTGGTTTATTATTGTTCATTTTCATGTAAAATAAAATATATGGCATATGATATGCGTTAGCCGGATATAAATTAATTCCATTTGTAATTAATAGTGAAAATAAAATAAAATTTCTTGAATCAGATTATGATCCAATTTTTATTATAAATAATAGCAAAATGAATCTTATAAAATTATTTTTAGTTAAGAAAAGGTAAGCAATCCTTAAGTCATATTATGATTGAATCTTTATACCTTTCTTCCAAGAATATAGAATTATATAATCAACAAATCAAAATATGCAATTAGCCAATAAAAAAAGATAAAAGAAGATAGCGTGAAAGAGTTTATAATTTGTCGTAGAAATGGAAAATTTTAAGTGAAAAAATAAATCAACACTTTGAACCTAACTTATTGGATTTCCATATCCAAATTGAATTAAATCTTAAGAAAAAATAAGACAAATGAAGCCAAACAATTAATGAATTAGCCTCGCTAAAATCATTGAGAGCCTAAATTTTACAATGTCATTGTCCTCGGTAGGTTAATTGATTTTGTCATGAAATGGATTATTTGCGTGTCTGCACATGGCATCCACGTGGTTCGTTACTTTTGTCGGCTAAGGATGGAACCTAGTTCTCCTCATCTCCTTCTTTCGGCAGTTGGGGCCACATGCGGTGGGATTCACCAAGAAATTTCGCATTATGGGTTGCTTTCATGGAAATTCTTGGTAACTATAGCTAAATTTCGATTAAAAAAATTTTCCTATATCCACCCATTGCCATGTAAAAAGAATCTCGTTTGGCATTGTGATTGAGCTGCATTTTATCTCAATTGCTAAAAAAATTGATCCAAAACGCAATGCCAAACAAGACACTAAATTTTGATTCAAAATACCTATTGCTTTTAATTTGTTCTCGATAACAAAAGCAGGTAAGAAGTAAGATTGTAATTGCTTTCAATCACAATGCCGCAAAACTTCAACTAAACTGCTCAAAATCTAATCCGACTTGAAAAAGCAGGAATCTATATCTAACGCATCCCTACTTGAAGAGATCGAACTCAAATCGGATTATCCTCTTGAGTGTAATAGCAGCAAAATTTCAACCAAAACCAAAATAATCCAATTTACCCAATCCAAACTTACTCTAAAGAGTTAATACTAAACTCTGGGTCAAACGCCTTGAGTTGCTGACTCATTTTAGTGCCCTAATCTCTTTCTTTTTTTTTTCTCTAGCAGTTCTAAACATGGAAAGACATCTAGGTTTCCGGTTTATCTTTATATGGCGAACATAACATATTAAGTAGATATAAGGCTATAACAAGCGGCAGACAAAATATCGGACGCACAGCAGCGAAAGTATCACTAAACATTCAAAGCAAAATCAAAACTTAATTTAATTAATTCATGCAATTATTCTTACAAAATGATATCTAACATTGAAATTTAAATCTTAATACTTAAAATCTTTTTTCCTATCCCCAAGTTGCCGCTTCTTTTATTAAAAAAAAAGCAGCATATTCAAGTTTCGATAATACATCAACAATGAATACATATCACAGATAAGGGATCAGCAAACGAAATTAATTTGAATGAAATAAGTTAAAAAAGGAACCACTCAGGAAAAGAAAACGGATCTCTACAAGGTTATTAATATTTGGCAGGATTTCAAATGCATGTTGTCAGTTATATATACCATGTTCCAGTTTCCTCATGGAAGTGAAACTAATGGTAAACATTACAGGATATAGAAAACAAAAAAAAAAAAGTGTTAAGAATTTCACATATTATCATTCACAGACTTCTAACTGAATGATATTAACAACCTCTGTAAATTTTCTTCCTAGATAAATGCATAAAACTCTTTTGTTGGAGTAAGTGGATTCATAAGCCCGGAGTGAAGACTGACCTACCAAAATAGGGAGCCAGTCCATCTTTACATTATGTTGTTTTTGTCAACGATAAAATATAATTCCGAACTCACAGAAGGCCAAGTGTTTTCAGCTGCTGGACATGCTCAGGTGGGAGAGGGGGAGGAGACCAGTCAGACCCAGTCATTTCACCATCAACATCCTCAACAACGTATTCCTAATAGAGTACACATAAAGCTGAATTATGTTAAACTGTACAGCAATTCAGAAACAAGCTAAAAAGACACATTTTTTAAGAAAAAAAGACTGATGCAGCATATTCAAATGATAGTTTGGTAGCTAATTTAAAGATAACTAACAGATGAACCAATAAAAAGGCTGAGAATTGAATGCAGAACATCATGCTCCCAGAATCTACTTCATCTAAGTTTTGCAAAATGAACAGTACATAAGCAAACAACACCGGTGGACCTCTGAGCATTGTTGGCACACTTCATATGAAATGGAAAACAAGCTAAATGTAGAAAGAGGATCTAAATTTTATTAGTGTCCTTGCCAGGAGCAGAGATATGTAATATATCTTCTTTTGCCACAATTAATGTGCGTATTTTTGAACACCAAATTTCCTGACAACCCTAAAATGCAACGTAAATGAAGCTTTTGTCTACCCCATCATAGAAGCTATTACGTCAATAAAAATACTTTTATCCGCAAAACAGACAGGAATAAGGTGATAATTTTCAGTCCTTTCCATTTCATTTCTTATAAAGGCAGCTTATTCATCGTACAAACTAGCACCTAGAAATTAACTTCATCAACTAGTTTAGTTGAAACCAGTTGACCTACTGCCCCAAAGAATTGAACTTTAACATACAGCAGTACATGAACCAAAGCTGAAGACCTGTCAGTGCAACTCACTTTTGTCAGCATTCTTTTTGCGAGTATGTGATAGTGCCGCTGCCAAATCCTTTGTCCAACCATTGTAGCAACCAAAACACTGTAAAATATACCAATCACAGTAAATAGTCCCAGCACAATCAATGCCATTATGAACAATAATGGGAGCCCTGCTTCACCAGCACCACCTAGGCAACCACATTCAGTAGCAGCACTAGCACAGCTTTCAAAACATGTAGTACAGTCAGTCCACATACAAAGAGTGCCAGGTAGATGGCAGTCCGCACACATTCTGTGAGAGTTGAAAATAAACAAATTAATAATTTGATCAGTTTGCCCCAACACTCATAAATTAATTAGTGAATGATATATATGTACTTCATCCCCATCATTAGCACCACTTCAATAGCTTAGCATATTAAATAAATAAGAAGCAAATCCAACCTGCTTTAAAATAAATTAGATCCTAGAATCTGTCAAATACAGAAATGTTCTTTCAGACCATTTGAAGTTATATGATTTCCATAATAACAATTTATGTGCTTCAATCCCACCATTAGCAACACTTCAAAAGCTTAGTATATCAAATAAATAAGAAGCTAATGCAACCCGCTCTAAAAATAAATCAGATTCTAGCATGCATCATTACTAAAAACTTTTTTCAGACCATTTGAAGTTATATTCCATTCCCCAGTGACACCATTCCAATGTCAGCAGCAATAACAATGGCGCCCTCATAACACAAGGATTTACCGATGAGAGGAGCACTGGAAAGGGAAGGAGGAAGAAAAATGGAAGGTTCAGAATTAGGTAAATCAATAGAATGAGCAAAAATGAAGCCAATATACATTTCAAACTTGAAGTGCAACACAGGAGAGACTCTTCTAAACTATGCAGATGGTTTTACATGATAAATAAATAACATGCCCAAAAAGAAAAAGGAAAGCAAACCCAAAGATGCATAATATGACAACTGTCGAAGAGAAAGGTAAACGGTAACCACAGATACATCAGAGATACAGAAATAGCTACCGGCCAGAACATCCAAAAACATCAGTTTGAGCTATCTTTTGTGCTCTTTTGTGCTCCAATACAAAATGTGCATACAGCAGCACAGTAAACATTGATTTAAGCATAGTTAGAGGATGTTAATATATATAAAAAAACATGAAGGGGTTAATGTAGAGTTTATTTTGTGTTAGAGAACAACTATTTGCTAACTTGGAAAGGACTGCTAATATTCCTCTTTGTCTTGAATCCACGGACAAATAAATGGCACAAGTCATATCAATAAAGAGAAAAGGGGGAAAGGAGGGGAGGATTAAAAAATCATTTGATGCCTCCAAATATATGAAAATTGACAGTTTGAGCATACATTTTCCTTTCAGATTGAAGGAAGCTCACCAGTTCCTATGCAGTGAGTAAGTAAATTGCATATTGCATGGCATTGAGTACTTGATTAAACAGATGGAAAATGGTATATAACACATGCAAAAAGTTTCATGCACTATGATGATTATAAAGAATTTGATGCAAAATGCCTCTTACTTTTCACATATTTGTGCATGTTTTGGGTGAGGGTTTGCACACAAACATATATGGACATATATGGAGGTGTAACAATAGAGAAAAACATGAAATGTACTCTGCTATACCAATCATGAGAGAAAATTCAAAAAGAGGAAGGGGGAAGAGAGAGAGAAGATGAGGCAAATGATGTTAGATCGCAACGGTTGATCTGTATATGTAAAGTATGTAATAAACTCCCTATCCTTTAACATATCAATATGTAATTGATAAAGTTTTATTAAAAGTAATGATGAATAGTAATATATCAAACTGACAGTACAATTCAACAACATCCATCGAAGTTTACAAGTAGAGTTATACCCAGGCTGACAGCAACAAAGACATAATTCTCTACAAGGCTGAGCCAAATCATTACGCACTCTTCGATCATAGCAAGTAATAAAGCACCCTGATAGCCCCAGCAAAGCAAAAAATAGTAATGCTCCTGTATTCAACAATCATTTTGTTATCTATCAGCAAAAGCGGCAATATCCAAGCTGGGTTAATGAATATTTCATACAAGTAAGAATTACTAAAGCATGAAAATCAGATAAATAAAAAATTTCTTCAAGCAATCTTGTCAATTCACCCAGCAGTGTTTGGTAAATTTCAAAGAAAGAAACACAGAGCAAGTTTTAGCATATAACTAGGTATCATATAAAAGGCCATGAAAACAACAGGCAACCTCAAATTTTTGTTCACTTTGGTACTTTAACCAACTAGGAGCAGAAATGAAATTATCATAGAAAATTTAGTGAAGAAAGCTTCACCCCTTAATAATTGATAGTAAAGCTTCAAAAAATTAAGGTCAAAATGAAATTTTAGTCTTTTACATATGAAATTACTATTGTATCGCTAAAGACCTAACTAAGGCTTTTTCCACCACTTTGAGCTCAATTCCAAAAAATATATCATAACTTCCTAAATGCCTTAAATATTTTTTTCATTTTCTCTGCAATGAACTCATAGTTTTCAGCATCATACATCATGAAGGGGACTCCAGTGCCTAGGCAATGAATTCTACACAAAGCTAACATGGTTTCGAGACACAGTTTCAACATGGCAAAAATTTATCGATTAAAATTTCTAATAGGTTAAGACATGATATCAATCAAGCAACTAATCATTATAAATTGTAAATTTAAATGTTGAGATATACTTTCACTTACAAGGTTTGATTAAAATAACATGAAGTTAAATTCAAATTTTTTATTATTAAAGTGAGAAGGTATATTAACCAAAAATAAATTGTTAACATTTGTCCTTGGTTAGATTATTCAACCAATAAACGGACCTTTATAGCTTGAGTATTTCGACCAAGGAAAGAAGTTCTATAAGTTCAGTATCTCAACCAAAAAAGAAATCTTTATAGGTTGAGTTTTTCAACTAAGGTTGAAAGCTTTATAGGTTGGGGTTTTTAACCAAGGAAAAATCTTTATAGGTTGAGGTTTTCAATCAAGGAAAGAAGCTTTAAAGGTTGAGACACATCTTGCATGCAGCAACCTCCTATGTAAAGACAATCTCTTCCAATGTTACATTTAGTATTTACACATTGGGAACCAAATAAGTTTATTTCTCAAACCTAGGGAACTTGATAGTTAATCCTGTAAGAAAAGCATTCCAAAGTTTTTTAAGGGAAGTAAAAATGTCCCATAAGAAACTTTGTGCAATATTACTCAAGTTGCTTTGCTCTGTTCAGTAATTAACAATTTTTTAAAGGATATAAAAAAATAAATAAATAAGCAATCAAAGCGAGATACACCAAAGCCATTCCCTTCCATATATCAATCAATAATCCAAAAGACAAATTAACAAACTCTATTATTTGTAAGACATATAATCAAGATATCACTTCAGGTTCTTGAGATTTTACCACATATGTAATAGAAACTAAGCTCACTCTCAAAACCCCATGCAAGACGGAGCCATGAATGCTGGTAACTGTCAATTAAATAGACCAAATATGCCAGTGAAGCAATAACCTGAACAAAAGAACCACGAATTATACCTAAGAAACATATTTACAATAGGAGAAGTAAACTAACAATGCCAGAACTAACAATCAAGAAATGACAACATACTAGTTGAACAGCCAGAAATATGGATAAAATGTCTCTGGTCACAAAAAATCGGAATTTCAAGGTTCGCCATTTCCTATCAGCTGCAACATGAACTCTCAAATGGTAAGGAGCTTTACAGGTTGTGCAATGAGCAAATGCAAACCCTTCCTGCAAAAAACAAACAAAAAAAAAAATCCTACACATTATGAGATATGGTAACTAGGAAAAAGGAGAACAGTGCGATGCCCATGAAAGACACTGGAGCATTTCAATTACAATTCTTTTTACTACAACGCTACAATTGTCCAATCACAATCAAGAATTATGTGAAGGCCCACCACTTATAAGAGTGGACACCACAAAACATTTTGGTAGACCCTACATAACTCCAATATCTGATTGATTGATTGTAGTACAATTATTGTAGGCGATATGCTCGCAAAAGACACACACACATATAGAGATGACAAGCTAGCACCAATGTCCATTTCCCTCCTGATGACTGGTTATCATTCTATGCAAGTGTGTGCTTGCAGACTTAACCAGCTAAAATCAACTTTATCCTATGGACTGGTCATCTTATGTAAGTAGTCTTCAAGAAGATGAGTAACATAGGTTAATGATTAAATCAGTAACTAAAAAGAATTAATTTCATATCAATGCTTGTTTGATTGATTGTTGTAAATCTTCTATAACTGTTCAAACCATTTATTTCTAAACTTTTTCTCTGATCTTTGTCAAGGGATGTATACACCGGTTTTAAAGTGAAGTATATCCAACTATGAGGCCATTTAGACAGATACCAATGTCTCAGAAAATCTAATATAGCTACATTTCTTGAAATTCTATTAAATTTTAGCATATCATACTTGACTTCAAGTTGATTATTCAATGTTTAGAGTTGTATCCTTTCTTTGAAGTCAGTTCAAGGTATGCTGCACAAAGTTCTCCAAATTCCTGATAAGAACACTTTACAATCTAGGACTCTATTGGAAGCTATCAAAATAACAAATAAGATCAACTAGATGGGAAAAACTGAAACCATTATGCTCGTTAGGTTAAACTAAAAGTCAAATTGAATTTAAGCAGTGGAAAGTAAGTCAGTAACAGGGTATTGAACCATTGATAGGTCAAACTTTACAGAATAGACAAACACTTATATCCTGTATGTCCTTGCCTTTGATCAATACCAATTGAGTATGTTAGTTTGAGGAGTGACTGCCAATCAGTTTGCAATCACAATCCTCATGCAATGAAATGAATTTCTATATAGAATGAAGTTGATATAGTAATATGTAACCACATTAGACTAAAGAGGGTAAATGAAATAGAATTTGTCCCCAACTTTTCATCCCTATGATTTTACTATTGATCCAATGTCATCCTTTATCAATTTCAGTTAATAAAGTACACAAAATGTGCTATGTTTGTGCCATGGAAGAGTTATATTAATTATTACTATATTAAAGCCAAACATTGGGGCGGGGAAAGGGGGGGAAGACTTTGAAAAGGCTCTCTTTAAGTCAACTGAAGTAAAACTTGCATTTACGGGGAATATATATGGTAAAAACAATACTTTTTGTCTCCATTACTGAACAAAGGACCAATGTGGCTGATATATATATATATATATATTTGTTATGTTGTATAGATGTCTAGCTTTTACTTTATTAGCAGACACGGGCAGAATAAAGAAATTGAATCAAGATTATGAGAACAATTGACATCCAAACGAACACAGTAAAACTCCAACAGTGCAATTTAGTGTAAGCAATAAAATAACAGCTATAAAGAAAACCATTCGTACGCACACCAATAAAACCATAGTACAAGTAAAGTATAATGCATTCGAATTTCTCTGTTCAAAAATGAAGAAAAAGGGTATTAATATTCATACCTTTACAGCTCGCCAATGATCTAAACATTCGCGGTGTACATATTTTGAAGTCCCTTTGCACTTGCAAGGAGCAATAAAATCTCTACCTGAGAAGCACCATTGCACATTGAACTATTAGCACAAGTTTCTAGAAATCGCACACTTGACAGCAAAAATTAAGCTTTTTTTATGATTATTAAACATTATTGTGTAGGATGGCCAAAAAGATTTTATTTAGGAATTTCTTATTCAAAAATATTTTTAAAAAAAATAAATAGAGAAATTGAAAATAATCAAATTGCTACTATTTTCCTCTCTAAATTCGGCTAATAATCCAATCAGTTCGGTCACCAAAAAAAAAAAATTGAACTTCTAATACTGGAGTGATGCACGTAACTCAGGAATAAATTTTAGAATTTATTGGATTTACCAGAATTCTTTCGAGAGGAAGGTGTAGAAATAAACAAAATGAGCATAATTCAGAGCAAAATCAGAGAAACAAAATTTTTTTATTTAAAAAAAAAAAGGAAAGTGAAATTTGAGGAAATGAGGGTTTAGAAGTAGAAAATACCGTCAGTTTCAAGGCAAATTCGACACTGAATTTGATCGGCAGGACCGGTCTCAAGGTCGATCTCGCCGGGCTCGGTGATCAGTGGGGGAGCCATGAGAGGCGATTCCTCCGATTGATCGCTCATTGTCTATTAACAGAGAAACAGAGGAAAATAATAATAATAATAATAACAATAATAAACTAGAAATTTATAGAGAAAAAAGAGAAATCTCGTTTGTTTTCTCCTCTGTTTCTTCTTAAAGCTGCTGCTACTGTTTTTGTGATTGTTTTTCCGACGGAATTTCACGGATTCATTTCCTTGTATTTTTTCTCTTTTTCTAATTTTGGAAGAGAAAAAAGAAAAGTATTTAGAAATTTTTATTTTTGTGCGTTTCCCGGAATAACCTTGGCTTTTTATCAACTTTGACTAACATATCCCCGGCATTTTCTCCGCTGACGTTATCCAATACGAACTAGGCTAAATTGCGGCAGTTTATCTCTCTTGCAATTGCGGTTTTTTTTTTTTAAGACATATTGTTAGTATAATAAGCAAAATTTAGATGATGGTATATTTTTTTAATTAGATTTTTTATAAATATATATTAAAAAAATGTATTTTTTTAATAATATTTTTGTAATTAAAATTTTATATTAATAATATATTAAATAATATTAAAATTGTATACTTTTAGGTTTTTCTTATGAAAACTTTTAAATTTGATCCATTTATATAATAAAAATAGACTCACATTTTTTAACTAATATAAATAAAAATATTTTTTTAAAATATAAATTTTAATATATATTAATATCAATATTGATTCATTAACAAAAATTAAATTAATCTAAACATTTTAAAGCCTTGAAATTAATATATTAACTAATAATATTCTTCATTTAAATAACAAATAATATGATTAAATTATAATATACAATTTATAAATATATCACAAAATTATATATTTTCAAGTCAAGAAAATTTTGTAATTTTTTTAATTCAATAAAAATTTTATTAAATGTTTAAGCCCCATTATAAAAATACTAAAATATTTCTTAAATAAATAAAAATAGTAAAAAAATAACAAAAATTCATCATACATCAATATTATTTGTGATGATTTATATAATGATACAACTTAATTCTTCGTGTTTTTAAAACAATAAAAAATTTTGGCAAAAAGATTAAAAAGCCTTTAAACAAAAATTCAATAATTATTTAAGTTTATGATATTTTATTGCAATCAACCATATCCTTAATATTTTATTTTGATTCAATTAAACTTTTAATTAAATGAAATCTAGTCACATAATAAAATAGAATCATTCAATTTTTGAATTACAATTAATTAAACCCTTAGAGGATCTTTAAAAAAAAAAAGAAAAAAAAATAGGGAAAAAATTATTTTATTTAATTTTTACTTATATTAATTACGTAACATGAAAAACTTTCATATATTTTATTAATATCAAATGAAATTTCATCTTAATTGACAAACTAATTAATAGTGTTAAAATTTTCATCCAAATAAAAACATAAACAAATGCAAATAAATATTCAAAAAAATTGATTAATTACAATAAAAATTATCTAGGATAATTTTTTAATTATAATTCAAAAACTTTTTTTACCTTTTAACAAAAAAATTTTAATTATACTCTTCACATATTTAAAACTTAAAAAATCATTCATAGACTTATAAATTAAATATGTTTTCTCCAACTCTATTACTTTAAAATTTTATTACATGAAAGCTCATATTTAATATATTGTATTATGGTTTAATAATTCATATATTTCTGTAGTGTAAAATATTATGATTTATTTATATTATATTTTATATAAAAATTAAATATTATTATTTATATCAACAAAAAAATATAAAATATATATTTTTATTTTTATAAAAATTTTAAATCGTACAATTTATTCGTATCTTTTTTATTCAATTTTTTTAAAAAAAAATTCATTCATTCACTAAAGAAAAATCTTCCAATAAATATTCCTCTATCCAAATGTTTCTATCCAATTCCTCTAAACTTTTCTTTGCTAGTAGATGAGCTGCCTTGTTGCATGTTCTCGACCTATGTTGGACTTGACAGACACAGAAATTCTTCATCTTTTGTTTGGCGTCTTTTGTGATGGTCCCTACTCGTGATAGGTCGACTTCTCTCCCAGCAAAAGATCTGATAATCTTCAATGTGTCGCCCTCAAGCACTATTCTGGTGAATCCTAGTTCTGCAGCTAACTCTAGTGCTAATAAGGCTGCCTCGGCTTCCACATGGAAGGTGCCCCTATTTCTGTTATTGGGATGACCACTAGGACTGCACCTAAGGAGTCCCGGATCAGTATTCCCACCCCTCTTTTCTACGAATTCTTCTGTACTGCCCCATCAAAATTAACCTTTACTAGGTTTTCATTTGGTGGTTGCCATCGTTCGTGAAGTCTTTGGACCCCCTCACTTGTGGCCTGTACGATTTTGGTTTCCTGTATGTATTTCTAGGTGAACCCTACCATCTCATGCAAACTCTTTTTTGGCTCCCCATGCAGCACATTGTTACGTTCATTCCATATTACCCACGCAATAATACTGCACGTATGAGTCTTTGTTGCTTGACAGGCATATTTTCTTTACCCATTCTGCGTCAGCTTCAGTCCTCTCCTCCGTTGCCCGTGCTCTGTTCATGGCTTCCCAAACTTGGCTCGCGTATGGACATAATCTAATGGTAGTTTCATCAGCTGCTCCACACGTGAAGCACATCCTGTTTGCCCCTATCTTCCTCTTCGGCGAGGTTTCTAACACCGGTAAATAGCCGTGATAACTTCTCCAAAACAGTGACTTTACCTTGCTTGGTGTTTCTGATGCCCATAAAGTGGTCTACATTTTCACACTACTTCTGTCCGCTATTTTCGGGGAAGGGCCTCCATCGTTTTGCTTTTGTAGTAGCAATCTATAGCCACTCTTAACAGTGTAGTAACCTGTGTTGTTGTAGTGCTACACTATTTGATCTTCAACCCCAGTTTTGGTTGATGGTATGGCGTAAATAGTGGTTGCCTCTTCTTCCAAGAAAATCCGATGAATTAGCTCCTTATTCCAGCATCTAGTTGAACTATTTATAAACTCTTTCACTAATGCGTTGGGTTTGAAGCCTACCTCAGAGATTGGATGAAGCTCGGCCTACGTAATGGTATCCATTTGTCTTCCTAAATTCTCACTATTCCTCCATTTCCTATTTTTTATCTTATTCTTTTTTCTTGATTGATTCAATCGATTAAATTAATATTTTTTAATAAAAAAGTTTTAAATTCGAATTTTATTGATGATTATTTATTAAAATTATTTTGAATATACGAACCTGCATCTGTTTGTCTATCTATCTAAACCCCAGATAAAGTCACAAGATGTCCAAATACTCCTCCAGGTGTAAGAGGGGTTTCGTCCCAGTTCAGCCTCCATAAAAGAACACCGTGGAAAATATTTAGCCTTGAGTACTTGATGCACTAGGTTGTCCTTGCACATCCTTGTTTGCCAAGCATTACCCTGTTAAACAGTTCTATATCACAGCCTATTCCTCCACTAGTTTTGAGGCAACACACCACTTTGACCAGTGAATGCATCTTGTTCCATTACCATGCTGCCACCAGTACTTACTACGAATGCCATTGAGGTCGTGACATAGCCCTTTCGGTAGCAAGAAACAATTCATCGAGTAAGCTAAAATTGCTTGAAGGACTGCTTTGATGAAGACCATTTTGCCCCCGAAAGATAGCTTCCTATGGCTCCATCCTTGTATTCTTGATTGGACTCTAACCTTCATGTCTCGAAATGCTTATCGCTTCCCTCGACCAACCATTGCAAGTAAGCCTTAGTATTTCTCCAAGTTTTTCGTAACCCTGACTCCGTATAGGTTCGTTATCATCTCTCTTTGATGGTTGTCTGTATTATTGCTGAAGAAGAGGGTTGATTTGTCATAGTTAATTCTTTGACCCGAACATTGTTCATATGTCTTTAGCATGTCCCTCACCCTTTCACCTTCACTCCATTTTGCCTTTGCAAAAAGTAAGCTGTCATCTATAAAAAATAGGTGAGTAATTCGGGGTCCATTGCGACTCGCTCGGATGCCATGTACCATTCTGTCTCCTTGAGCTTTTGTAAGTATTGAAGATAGTCCTTCACAATAAAGAGGAATAAGTAAGGTGATAATGGGTCTCCTTGTCTAAGTCCTCTCCCTGGAGTAAAAGTGTTAGTATTCTAGCCATTAACCACAATTGAATAGAATACAACTATTACACATTTCATAATGAGGGAGACCCACCTAGAACTAAAACCAAGCTTGAGCATCATTTGTTCTAAAAAATTCCACTCAACCCTATCATAATCTTTGCTCATGTTTAGTTTTAGAGCAAAGTGTCCGGTTTTCCCTCCCCGCTTGTTTTTCATGGAATGGAGCAATTCATAGGCTACCAGGACATTGTCAATGATTAACCTCCCCAAGGCAAAGGCACTCTGGGTTTTACTGATACGGTGGGGCAACACAAGTTTTAGCCTTTTTGCTAGTGTTTTGGCTATGATTTTGTAGAGCACGTTACAAAAGCTAATCAGTCTGAATTTGGTTACCTGTCTTGGCTGTTTTGTCTTCGGTATAAGGATGATATTGGTATGGTTTATTCCCCTAAGGTCTTCCTTCACATTTAAAACATTTAAGCAAAACTTAGTTACACCGTTACCAACACTATACCAAAATTTTTGAAAGAAAAGTGTGGGCGGTGGGATGCATTTGTTTCAATGCGATAAGAACCTCCTCGGCCTTGAACTCAGATAGGGGAAATTCATTCATGTCGGTTGTGACTCGGTTCTCTATTGTCTCAGGAATTTCATCATATGGGTTATACCCTGAGGAATGAAATCTTTGGCGGTAGTAGCTAGTGATTATGTTTTGGATCTCTGCCTATGTTTCACACCATTTTTCCTTCTCATTCTCGATCCCCTTCAGCTAATTCATTCTTCTTCTTTGAGACGCCTTTGCATGAAAGAACGCAGTGTTGCAGTCCCTTTCTTTAAACCATTAGACTCTAGATCTCTGTGCCCAGAAAGCTTCTTCCATTTTCAATGCTTTATTTAGTTCAACTTTGATCTACCGTAATTTTCCCAAATTGACCGTGTCAACCTTCTCATCTTGTGTGGCTTGGAGTTCCCTTGTCAGTCTTTGTATTTCCTCATGCATGCCCGAAAACTTCCTCTTGTGCCATTTTGTTAGTTGCCCACCCATACTCTTTATTTTCTTGAAAATTCTTCCACTATGTGAATGACAGTTTTCGTCCCATGCCTCCTTCATTTCTTTCTCGGACTGCTTCTTTAACCACATCACTTCAAACCAAAATTTTCTTGGTTTCCTGTGCATTGACCTTGTTTGTTGCCTTCCCTCCATATCTACCATAATAAGACTATGGTCTGGCACCGAAGTTGTGAGATGTTGCATTAAGTACCTGGGAAACTGCTCTCACCACCTTTGGTTAGCCACTCCTCTATCAAGTCATTCTCTAACATTATTTTCAGGTTGGTTCCCTCTCTCCTATGTGTACCAAGTTCCACTAAAACCCAAATCATCTAAGCCTACTTCCCCTAACACCTCCCTGAAATCCTCTATCTATTTCTCATCTCTAAGTCGTTGACCAGTCTTTTCATGGGACCACATTATCTTGTTGAAGTCACCAATACACAACCATGCCATATTGGATTGTGATGCCAAGTCTTGGATTAAGCTCTAGGTGTGTTGCCTTAGCCTTGTATCGGGTTCGCCATATCCCCCCGTAATTCTCCAATTACCTTCCTCATTTGTTTCCTCCATTATCACATCTATGTGGTTCTTTAGATGCTTCTAAGATGAATTTTCGTCATTATGTTCCACATCATAGCAAGACCCCCACTCAGCCCCGATGACCTAACACCAATACATGCATTGAATCCACATTTTCTTTTTATTCTTTCTAACTTTCTTTCATGTAGTTTTGTTTCACTAAGGAAAACTACTTGGGGTTTCTCTTTCTTCAACAACTGTTGAAGTTCTCGAACTGCGCGGGGGTTCCCAAGCCCCCAGCAATTCCACGCCAAGCACTTCATTGTTCTCGACGAGAATGGGCTGTTAGATTCACTTTGATTGCTGTATTTTCATCAACTCTCCCTTTCTTATGTTGATTTATGCCCTCACAGTTTGTTTCTTTATCCCCTGTATCCATTAATTCATTTATCCCTCATTTCCCCAAGCTTGTCTGAATAATGTTCTCTCCTCGCAACTTTTCTTGCTTTTCTCTTCCCTGTTGATCTAGCACAGTGACTCATTTTCAGCTCTCCCCGTCTTTCTATTATCGAGTTTAGCTTGCTACTGTACCCGAATTGGCTTTCGATTGGAGTGAAGGTCCCCAACATGTTGGTCACGTGTGCTTTTAAAAACGCAATTTCTGCATGGCTTGCAGCGTCCCCATGCATGTCCTTTGATGGTCGTAGGTCCCACTCCTTGTAACCTATTTCCTCTTCTGTCATACCCCCTTTTGTTTTTGGGCCATGCCTATTATCACAATCACCATCTTTCGGAGATAATTTTAAATTTGTACCAGTCGCCACGTAATCCATCCCTTAGATTTCGGATTGATTAGAGTTTGCGTTGATTTCATTGTCCTAATTTTTTGCCAACTGTAACGCCTCCTTTTGATTATCCTTCACAGTCGCATCTTGGGGAGATTGTGATCTGCTATGCGCACCCCTGCTCCCCTAGAATACCACCATTGTCATTTCCCAGATTCCTCGAAAACATGTTTCCAGTACCTGTCCAATCTCTCTCCCATCCTATACGTGTGGCAGTAGTGAAAGATCCATATCCTTGTTTGACGGAGGACGCATTCAGCCAACTCCCATAAGGGGAGTCAGAAGTTGTGTCTTTTTCCCTATCTTCTTATAATCCACACTCCATGCTTGTATGGCCGATAACTCCACATCAATAACAGAAGGGGGGGTAAGCGCTTGTATTTAACTACTCCTATTATCTCCTTCCCTCCCCCTTGATTGCCTAGTACCACAAATCTTCTCAAAGGCTTTCTGATGTCTAGCTCCACTGGGATCCTCATGTATTTTCCCCACTCCGAATAATTCCTGTTGGAGTTAAATGCTTTGTATTTTCCCATTTTTCTCCCTATTATCTCCCCAACACTGCTATTCATCCATTTTAATAGGAGATCATATACCATTACCCAAAAATGGGCTTTCGTAAAGTCGTATTCTGAAGGTCTGAACTCCCATCGTACTCAGCGAAAATCAATAACTTTCTCTCAAAGGACCAAGGTGATCCATCCATAACCCGCATTTTGTCCTTCCTCGTACCAAACTTAAAGATAAATAGATTGGCGTCCGGTGCACTAACCTGCATCTCGTTGGCTATTCTCCAAATGAGCCTGAACGTGCTGATCATAGCGTCTTTGTTAAAAGGGCGGTCTGTCAGTAAATTTCCCACTCGCCATTTCTCCCTTTCATCCGCATCCACCCTATCACAGTCAGTCGCTAGCTCGACTCAGTCATTCTCATCCTTCATGAGCTTCAGGCTATTCTAGACCCCTTCCAATCCTTCTGCCATCGTACTCCTATTGATATGTATGACGTGTACAAGCCACACTAGCTACATATGGCAAATAATCCACTCTCAGGTTTTGTTGTGATGACACTCGCAAAACTCTAATCCATAGCCAAAAGACTAGAATTCCTCCTATAGAGTCAAAAACTTAAAAGAGACTCAATTCTACTAAGCTTAACTTAAATGGCATGAGGTCTACTGCTTTTAGTCATATTTATATTTATATTATATCATTATATTATATTTTAAATTATAAAATAAAGACTTTAATATTTTATTTTTATGGGAAATAATTTGTTTTTTTTATTTGTTATTACCATTTTCATATGATGTTTTTTTAGTTTAAAAATATCGCTATTCACATTTCACATATTTTCAAAGTCAAAAAAATTTAGGACCTATTTAGAAGCACAGATTTTTAGGCGGCTGCTTCTGTAATTTTGCCCACTCCGAAAACACTCGCCTTTTGTGTATCTGAACGACACAGTTTGCTTCTTCCCCCTTGCAGTCTCCATCTTTCCTTCGATCTAAAAGACGATGGTGAAAATCCAGAAACCCGAAAAGCAAAATCTCAGCAATAAAAAATTTAAAAAACCCTTAAGGAAAATCCAAACCGAATCCAATCATTCTGAAAAACCCGGAAATCCCCCAGTCCCTGAATCCGAACCCGGACCACCCGACTCGGACTTTCATGCGCAAACCCTTCCCGAGCTCTTGGAACCCTACACCAGAGACCAGCTCATTGATCTCATCTCCGAGGCTGCGCTCGAAAACTCCTCGTTCCTCTCCTTTGTCTGCAGCCATGTCAATCGGGACGCCTCCCATAGGAAATTGTTCGTCCATGGCCTCGCGTGGGAGACCACGCGCGAATCCCTTGCGTCGGCCTTTGAACCTTTCGGTGAGATCGAGGATTGGAACGTCATCGTCGATAAGGCCACCGGCAAATGCAAAGGTTATGGATTCGTTCTCTTCAAGAAACGAAAATCAGCTAGTAAGGCGTTGAAAGAACCGAAAAAGAAAATCCTCAATCGGATGACGTCATGTCAGCTGGCTTCCGTGGGCCCCAACTCGATTGCGAAGGATGCGGATCAATCGCACCAGAAAAAACCGGCTGATGTAAAGAATATAAACGCGGCGGAGCCGGCTGTACTTTTTCCGCCACAGCCGCAACAGCAGTCGCAGGTGTTGGCGGCGTTGGCAGCGACGCAAAATTTCCCATTGTTGGGCCATAGCAAACCGATTTATGGGAGCTTATTAGGGAGGCAAATTGGTCCGGTGGCGACGCTGGGGACTACCAGCAAGACGCCGGTTGCGGCTGTGCCAACGGTGCCGACGAGCCATGTGGATGTGGTGGGAGGAGGGTTTGGGAGGGCAAATTCGTCATTGCACGGTCAGGACGTGGCAGGTCAAGGGCTACATCGTTTATATGCAAATATGCAAATTGGGCAGCAGCCAGGGGCAGGGAGAGGTCGGGGGACTTATAGGACTGGGGCCTTTTCTGGGTACCCAACATTCATTTGGTATGGTTTTAATTTGTTGTCCATTGGAAATTTTATCTTTTTTGTTTGTTTAATATTTATACTTGGTAGTCCTATTACGTTTGTTGATTGGAGTACATTCTTTTTGGGTAAATTGGTTATTTCCAATTTTGAATTATTGGATGTTTGGTCTAATTGTTTATTCAAATTAGATGTTCTTTTGGCAATTTATGAGCACTAGGATGGATTTTAAGGAAGTAGATATTGAGGGATAGTCCACAGCTTGCCTCTCTGTTTATTGAATTGGTTGCTATTTATAGGTGGATAATAAGTTAACTTAAAATGTAATGATAATGATAATTGATAATCACCTATGTTACATGGACTGGAGATTCATTGTCAGATTCCTATATGCAACTGACTCTGGCATTCCTTATTTTTTGGAATATTTTTACATTAATTTTGAGGATCAAAGAGTCATACGCTAGTGTCCTAGAAGTGTTGAACACGGCTTCGGTAGAGTAGTGTAAAGTGAGAAGTCCATGTAACATATAGATAATCACCAACACCATAATCCCTTTCTGTGAGCGTTCACGAATTTTCACATATATATATATATATATTTTTAATTTAATATACTCATTATGTATCATCCTTTCTATTTGCCCAACACTTCTTACTTTTCTTTTCTGAATTAGTTGTTGGCGTACGCATTGCAGCTCTTTCCACTATGACAAATTCCTCATCTCATTCCATCAACCTGCTCTACCAACTCTGTAATGTCTTGGTGTTTGTTTTAATCACAAATTTAGACCAAATTTACTTAACTTTCTTTTTTTTTTGGTGCATCAGTTTACTCTTTTTTTACATGGGCTGTTCCCTGCATTGCCATGATTGGTATTTCAGTTTACATACAAGGGTCTTTACTAGTAGTTTTCCAAGGTCATTTCCTGGTCTAGTCTGTTTAACATTTGGTTCCCTAATCATACTAGTTTTTTGCTTTAAGGCATCTCTCCTTTGTTTCATTTTGGGGCTTTGGCTCATTGTGCCATTGGAAGCCTTGTTTGCATTATATGGCTGTCTGTAACCTTCATTCATGATTACTCACTGAATGGTCAATCATCCAGTTAATGCTATTTTTGAATTTAACAGTTCTTTTTGTTTCCCTTTCGAATAATTTTGCTGTTGTTATTTCTTAATTTTGGTTGCAAAAATTTCTCCCTCAGTTTTTCCATCATCTTTTATGTCAAATTTTTATTTGGAAGCTTTAATTTGTTTAAAGGGTTTAGTTTAAAGAAAATGCTTTTGCTTGAGAAGCATTCTATACATTAGTTTGTTTTATTGCAATTACATGGCTTGGACTCCATATTTGCAGATGATTTGGAGCTGAGTTTCAAGATGTTCATGCACTTTTGGGAAATGTTTCATGGCATTTGCTTTGGAAAACTTTGAAGTTTGACAATGTTTCCTATGGTTTAGATTTTAAAATTTTGCTGAGCTCAAATAGAATTTGGTGGACAAGGACCATTGCACTTCTTATCTTTCCTTTGTTTTCTTTATCTTTCCTTCTCTTCTTTTCTTCACCACTCTCTTTAGCATACAAGTTTGTAAGCAATGATAACTTTCAGATATCTTTTCTTAAATTTTAATTTCTTTATTTCTCTGGTATTTTGGTTTTCTTTCATTTCCTTTTATTATACCAAATTTTTTCTCCCATCATTTACTATTCACAGATCTGGGATAGTAGGATGATGAATGTGATTAATTTATTTACTTTGAATAATGATCTTCAATACATATAGTTCGATGATTAAATTTAGATTACACAAGTGGACATGCCTCCTCAAAAGTCAGTATTCTGGTCATAAAAAATTCTTCTTGTGTTTAATTTAAATATTTTTAAGGATTTCTTTTATTCTAAGTAGGTATTCTTTTTATTTGTTTTCTTTCCTGCAGTTATGAAGGATTCATTGGTGAATTATGATTGTAGTTTATAAACAGTATAGAACCCAATATTTAATATGACAAAAAGTCACTTTTAAGAAAGCCCCAAGTTCCTTTTTTCTTTTTTTGTACCTTGACTGGATTTAAGTTGCTACTTGTAGTTACATACTCAAAATATGTCTGTCTTGTTTGGGGCTCATTTGTATAGTTATTTATGTAGTTTCCCATTTGATCCCTTGCTTATGTCGTAATGTTTTTCTTATGCATTTTTTACCAAGTCAGCCTTGGTTTCAATATCAAACAAATTCCAATGGTCTGAATTTCTTCCCCTTGTCCTCTCTCTCTCTCTCTCTCTCTCATTTTTCTTCACTTATGCTTTTGTGTGTGATATTTATTTCATTTTACATTTTTTGGGAGGGGGGATTGAGGTGAATGAACATTTTTATGGAGTAGATGAAGAAAGATAATCAGCAGTACCTTTAAAATTGGTTAGCTGCATTCTAGAAATTCCTACTTCCCCCTTCATATATATACATATATATATATATATATATGTATATATAAATGGTTCCTAACTAGGGATTGATGCAATTTGAGATCAATGTAAATATGTTTCCTTTTTTTTTTTTTCACATAATTACATAAATGGTATAGCTGTTCAAAAATTATTCTAGTGGACTTTAAATAAATCCCAGGATGGAAGTTGGAGCCAGCTTTTAAACGTATAATTTTAGGCGTTTAATTTTTAGTTATACAACTTATGCAACCTGCTTCTATATAAATAATAAACCACGGTGTTGTTCATTGTTGACTACAGAGCCATTAAGTTCCTGTATTTTATGCAGAAATCCTGGATGCTTTCTAGCTATGCAAAAATTATTATGCTAGGACCAAAGAGATGATGTTCTGCTCTCTTTGATTTAATAGAAATCTCTTCCTCTGTGCTTAATGAACAGTTTAACTGAGATTAATCGTATTTATATAGTTAGCAAAAAGATGACCCCCTAACTCTGCACAAGCACCTGCTTAAGCCTTCCATTCTAGAAATATCAGCTAGTCAGGATCCTTGAGGACACAGGTTATCAATCTTTGTGGTTTTCCATGGATTTTGATTAATGCCATGCTTATTAGTTTGACCACATGTTAGCAAAACTATCATATCCATTGACTTTATGAGAAGTAGCGGAATCATACATTTTCTGAATTGAATCTTTGCCGCTGCTCAAACAGTTGTACAGTACCCTATTATGCCAAGGAAATGAAATACTATGATTTATGCGTGAAAACATTATCCTAAACGGCCTCCGCACTTGCTAAATAAGATCTTAATGTTAGAGGAACAAGTTACATAAAAAGAGTTTTTTAGGGGAGTCTACACTAAATCTCCTAGTTTACTTCTTCCTCTTTTTTGGAGGCTGGAGGGACTCCTCATCTTCGTCTTCCTCATCCTCATCTTCGTTTTCTACTCCTTCAACATCTTCCTCGTCTTCTTCTCCACCATCCTCTTCCTCATCTTCATCCTCTTCGTCGTCATCATCATCGTCTTCATCCTCTGGATCTTCACCATCCTCTTCATCATCGTCTTCTTCCCCATTCTGTTCTGCCCCACCTGCTCCACCTCCCAGTCCCTTCTTTGGGTTGTTCTTGTTGCCGTTGGGATTGTTGCTATCTTCCCCACCTTCGGAGGACAGCTCCTCTTCACCCTCTCCAAAGTCACCGTCCCCATCATCGTCATCTTCTCCATCATCTTCGTTGCCATCTTCCCCATCAGCATCCTCTGGCTTATGCTGGATTTGTGCATGGTCTCCAACTCTGGTTTTGTTAGTCAGCAGCAACCCAAAGGAGTTCTGAAACCAATGTCAAAAGGATGTATTGACAGCACAGGTTAAGCAGAAACTACATAAGCCATAACACTGAATTTTTTGTAGCAACAAAACAATTATATCAAGTGCAGATTTACTGATCGTTGCTATTTCAAAACTGAGACTGTATAATCAACAAACTAAAACCAGCTCTGATTCAAGGTATCAGACCTCCGCACCCTTTAGAGGCTAAGAAAAACAGTCATGCATGGGATTCGAATATAGGAAGCTTTATGAAAACTTGTGCAGCATGCAAAAAGAAAAGGGGGAATCAATCCTAGTAGGCATCTTGGAACAGAGACTATTCTTCACTCAAAGTGAGGTACAGCAACGATGGATTTTCTTTTTTTTTTTTTTATTTCTGTTTGGTGATGCTTAGACGCAAATGACATGACAAACCAAACTTGGGTGGTAGATGAATATGCTCCCACCGCACACTGAAAACGAAATATGATTTTTTTTTTTTTTTTCTTTTCCTTGGGCAAAGAGGGATTCGACTCCTGCATTTTGTCGCTTTCCCAAGTCAAAATCCGATAGTTTTAAAAGTGAACAAGAATAAAATCTCCAGAGAACTGGGCTGTCTACGTGCTATATACCCTGATCCTGTAAGAATTTTTCCACCAAACCTTAGGTGGTAGTGGTACAGTACATCCTAAATAAATGTTTTTTTACTTGTCAAAATATCTTCAAAAATAAAGAGTGATTACTAAATCATTCCAAATAAATAATACAAAATTATGATTTCAAGTTTCAGATATCATCTATTTAAAAGAGTTCCGACATGGTACTGCACAGCTCTTTTATGTGTTCCACCTCGCTCATATTCGGTTGGCATTTTTTTTATTTCACGGGTAATTTTGGTTTTTAATTTTTAAAGTGATTTTAAGTACACTAATTTTTTTTTTTTTTACATTTCACTTTTTTAAAAATTTTTTAAATAAATTTATTTAATTATTTTTCCTATCTCTTTTAAAATTTTTGAATATACATTTAATTTTTTAAATATGCATTTTGCAAAATTATAGTTTCAATTTCAGACAAAAAAAATCCGAATCCTAAAAACAATGGCAGCACACCCTTCAAGTGATAACTCAAGAAAATTCATCGTACTGCACCCAAATTGTGACGTGTCATCCAATGATTTTACAAGGATATTATTATCCAAGGAATATTCGATTCCCTAACAAGAAGTTTGACTTTTTGTGTTTAAAACAAGACACAACAAAAAGATTTAGTATAGATATATATAATACTAAATTCCACGTACGGGTCCGATACTCAAAAGACGGAACTCAAACTACCCCAATCAACTACGACGAAAATATTTTATTTATAATTTTTTTATTATAATACTATAATTAAAAATTATATAAAAATTTATAAAAAATACAAACTTCATATAAAGTTTTTATCAAAATAATATTAAATTATAATTGATTAATTATATTATAATAATTATACGTGATATTTTTTTAAACAATAAAATATTTTTCTTTTTCTCCCCCGCCAATCACGTAAGTTAGCAGAAAGACACCAATACGTACACGGCGCATGTTAGACACCCCAACTACCACAAAAAAAGGAACTCCACGCCCCAAAGAAGAAAGTAAAACAACCTTAAGTCCCAACAACAACGGCCCATCTTAGCAGGAATCTTGTGCCAAACAAATAAGAAAATGAAAATTGTTCTTTTGGTGGAATCAATACTCTAACAAGAAAACCATGAAACTGTTTTTTTTAAATGAAAGTATGCGAATTTTGGCCAACGACAAAAAGAAATTCCTAAAAGAAGCCCTACACCGGCGTATTTTAGCACTGATCTAAAGCAAAACCGAGAAACCCGCAGAAAAAAAAGAGCACAAAATTAAAGAAAAAAACAGAGAGGAGAGAAAAGCAAGAGCTAAGCAATGAAAAGACGCAAAAAAGAGGGTTTTATGGCGCAAGATAGCATTAAGGCAAAAACTATAAAAAGACAAATAAAAAAATGGAAAGCTAAGTTTATTAAGTGTTACCAGAGCTAAAAGGTTGGTTTTGACCAGAGTCGACAAGAACATAGTAGCTAGAGTTTCACCGGCGCATGTTAGCGCGGCGTAACTAACCGTAACTGCCATTGAACCGTGGTCAGCCTCCATTTTCACGGCTAACGATAATTCTAAAAATTTGTTTTTTTAAAAAAAGGAACCTGCATAGAAAAGAAACTCTACCGTTAGATCTATTTACTTTATTTGCAGAGATTAGTACTAAATATAGCTTATAGCCAAAAAAAAACAAAAAGAAAAACAAAATTTCAAAATTTATGAAAATAAACAAAAAGAAAATTAAATTAAAAAAATAACTCTTTTAGAAGAAAAAGACAATAAAGCACTTTCAATTACGAGCAAAACTCGCCGGCCGAAGAGGTTTTTTCGTAAAAAGAAGCTATTTTTAAGGTAAAATCAGTGAAACTAAAAATAATCGAAGTTTAAAAAGAGTCGAAGACGTTAGGAAATATGAAATTTGAAGAGAAAATGAGTGAAGAAGAAGAAGAAGGGAAATTAAAGGTAGGAAACATACCGGTAAAAGGAGATCAGAGAGGAGAGATAGTAGATCTGAGGATTTGAGGGACTAAAAGCAAAGGAAACGAGCAAAAGTAGAAGTGTTCATTGTGGACCGTCCGATCCTGATCAAGGAGAACTGAGAGGGAGAAAAGATATAGGTAGAATAATCACTCTGAAGCAAGGGGAGGAGAAGAGAGCAAGAGAGAGAGAGAGTACTGGGGAGACTGCCCGTAATTTTCCCAGTCAGGAATCGGGCAGCACGGGCAGCGTCTCATCATGTTAAAAAAAGGATCGATGAGTCCGGCCTGCCCGGAAGTGCAAGTAAGGACAGGTGTTATTAGAGGTAAGCTAATACTCTTCGATTAAGTTTAATTGTTTTTTTTTTTTTCCTGTTGTTTAGTTCAAGTTTAATGTTTGTAACGGTTCGATGAAATTTAAAATTTTTTATATTATTTAAAATTATAAATTTATTAATTAAATATAATTATATAAAAATTATTTATATATCATCATTTAAAATAACATTAAAAATAATATCACATTGATTAAAAAATTCTCTCACGTGTCCTTTGCTTTTGTTGCGCT